TCTGCTTGTACAGCAACATTTGGTTTCTGACTTAAATAGTATAAATAGAATGGAACGACAAAATTGCTAATGCTTGAGAAAAGTAAATTTGTCCAATTCACAAACACATTAAGCCATCGGCCGGTTTGAAATGGCATCACAACTATCCATGGTAATATTGAAGCAAGAAACGTTGCCATGCCTATGAACAATTATTTCGACAACGTTAAAAATTTAATGTTAAATTATTATGGTTGAAAAAAATTGAGTTGTACGAAAATTACTTGACATACTAATTGATCGTTAATTACCTTTCTTACAGTGTCCCGATCGAATTAAATTGTATCGGACGACAATTGTATATATTGGAATACTAGTTACTAATACTGCAACTGGAAAGATATAAGTACTAGCAATGGTTAACCAATTTTTTTGATCTGATTGATTAATTACAGTTATAATATCAGAATTTTTATCTATTTGAAATGCCATTCCACCAATGAGTCCAAGTAAAATGTAAACTGAAGTCGAAATCAAGATAGAACAAAAAACAGATCTTCGTATAGGAACTTTAGGGTCCTATTAATCAAGTTCCAGGTATCAACAAAAAAATTCAAAAATGTGTATTATATATTAGACATAAAATCTGGCTTACCAAATCATTTACCCAACTTGGGACTGTTACAATAAAGGCATAATTGAATAGAACAGTCCCAACTACTTGACTCATGTCGTCGCCAAAATTTGGGATGTATGATGGTGTCAAGCCATGCTTAAAAAATGTAATAAACCAGGCAGTAAGTAAGGATATCAATCCGACAAATGAAACTAAAAATAAATAAAGGATTTAGTTTGAAGGTGCTTTACCAATATGATAATTTAATTATTATACGTACCAATTTGGACTTTGATATTATCTGCTAATGAGAAAATACCCAGGGGTGCCACCATTATGAGAGTTATCTGAAAAAAATAACTTTATTAAATACGTCGTATTCCAAAACTTATACTGATATTATATCATATTGCATGGCACGTGCAAAAAGTCAGGTGCAATTCTCCGAACCAATCAGCTTACCATGAATCCAAAAGTTGCTACCATGTAGTTCGTTCCAAAAGGGCTAGCATAATCACCTTGTTCGTACACACAGTAAATACCACTTTGAGGATATATTCCTAGTCCACACGTCTTTCCAAATAGTGATATCAATAACGTATCCAATGAATGTGATGATAATAGTATTGAAGCAATGTTAACGGATTGAAGTGAAATAAAGAGGCTTAATTGAATAAGGAATCGTTTTCGTTTATCTGACACGAGAATTGCGGTGAGGTAAGAAAATTCAATTTGACGCTATTAATTAATATTTTATTAATAATAAATCAAAGTTGACACAGAAAGTTTGGTCTTAGTAAGTTATGGATTAATCATTACTTGAAATTTTTCATTTCCTTTAATTGAACTCGCAGTTTCACATAATAATAACGAGGAAGCACAACTTAATATTGAAATAAAAAGAAATGCTCCAACCGTTCTATTGATCGTATTATCTTATTTTAATGGTGTATTACGCATAGAATACAAATATAGATGTATATACAAAATACAAAAGGGTGCAATGAAAAATTTTAACTCACACAAACCAGCCAGCATCTTGAAACAATATGGGAACTTGGATCAAAAAATCAATGGCCAAGATTAGTTTTTTTTTTTTTTAAAAAAAAAATGATTTGCAGCTTATTATATTAATATTTACTAGTTACAAGTCCGGGTCCCGTTATAGATGAAACTAGAAGAGCAATACTTCCAAAATAAGAGATGCCATTAGTTCGAGGTATTGGTGGTGTCGATGTTGATTCCATTTTTTAATAAAGGTAAGGAATGAATTTTGATATCTAGTGGTTTTTTAATTACAGAAATATTAAATTAACCGCTTCCTAATTAACTACTTCTCAACAGACTGTGATTACAAACTCGTAAACTTGCAAGCGAACAGCATAAATACGTATCATTATTTATTGCATTCCAAATGAGGCAATTCAATTTAATTTGTACGACGTGTTGTTACCATTGTGAGAGCCACCCTACAGTCATGGATTTTCAAATTCGTAACGCAGTTCATTTCTCTTTTTGGGGTACGTCTAAAGCCGTGTGCGTAAAAGTTACTTTTTTGATGCAGTAATAGTTAGTGGTTTATATAAGTATCAATAAGATAATTTATGCAGCATGTAGTCATTTCCCAATTTATACCAAGCGCACCTGGCTTTAAACGATCACTCTTTTTGGTAAAAGATCTTCAATTGGAAAATTCTTTTTTAATTCTATGGTACGAATTTGTACCAGTGTTATTATTTGGCACACAACCGTCTTTTAAAGCCTTAGGGATCCCCACAGATTCCTAGACTACATATTCATAGAATAACTTTTGCAAGAAAATTTTAAAGTTTTTTTTAAAACTGATAGTTATTTTTAGATAATAACAATGCTTTTTTTAAATAGAAATCGGGTTTAGAATAACCTTTTTGTATAGTGCAGATTATTGCTATATCGCGTAAAATGGCTGACTGCCCTATTGCATTAAATCAGCGCCACTTAATAAGCATACTTTTTAAGAAATTTGTTATTATGGCGGCAATTCTCCAATAATATTTTGTTCTTGGCCAATTATCCCTTAAACCGTAAGC